ATTAAGGAAACCATTATGGTAAGAACACAGAGCTAGCCATGTGCAGAGACAAACAACAGTTTGAGAAACATCCCCTGCTCTGAAAACGCTGATGCTATTTGGAAGGACTGTACACCCAAACCTCTCACAGACTCGTTAGAAACTCTAGCATGTTCTGTGCAGATGTGAACTGCACAGAACATGGCAGTTCTTCAAGCCTTCAATGCTTAAAAGCCATTTTCAAAAAGATAGAATAAAATCCTCCTCCCAGGAGGAGTACCAAACGCCCAAAGCACAGCATCACTGGATATCGCTACACCTAAGACTTCACCTACGATATGATCTGAATTTGGCTTTTATGGGATTTTGACAAAAGCCACTCAAACACTGGTAAGACATTTACAATTTCCTTTCATATCTAAAAGATTCTTCAGTTCAGTCACTCAGTCCTGTCCGACTCTGCGACCTGATGGACTGCAGCATGCCAGGATTCCCTGACAAACATTAAACAAAGCCCAGGTTTTAAATTAAGACTCTACCACCTAAGAGTTTCCAAAGCCCTTTGAGAAACATCAGTGTATCATGAAGAAATGGCCGGTGCAAGCTCTCCCCAAGTTTCACCTCCCATTCCATCCTGTGATCCGCTCCAGGAAGCCAGGTGTTCAAGAATGCTCTCACCTACCCAGGTTTTCAAGGCTGGAAGGGGAGGCGGGGACAGAGCAGAGCTCTGCACATTTCCCCCCTTGATCTCCACTCACACTCATACACAGTTCATGTTCTTGCTTCTCTATTCTGATTCCTTATGTAAGAAGCTCAAATCTACTTTATTAGCACATTTTAATTTATTAGACAGTCAAGAAAGTGGGTAACATGGTATCATAGTAAAGAATCGAATCCATACAAATCCAGGGCCTCCAGAATGTGAGCAGGTACTAAGAAATAAGACACACCTCCAAAGATAACTTAATTCCTGTTCCCATGTGTTCTATTCATCCTAGAATGAATTCAGAAGAGGCAATGCTCTATTAGATGTGGAAACTGTATTCTTAGGTTCTAAAGAAGATAAAGGTCAAGAATTCAGTGGGAAAAAAAAAGAATTCAGGGAAAACTTTTTCTTACTGAAAAGAAAAAGGTGATGCTAGGATTAGCAAATGTGAAGGGGTCACACGACAGTTCTACAGGCTGTTAAAATGTTTTCTTTTTTAAGAACAAAGAAAAAGCCTTTAAATAACAAATTAGCATAATGAAATAATGTTGAAGTGATCCCCGGGCATACAAAATTCAAGTCAAATTAGTCACAGCCAAAGATAAAAGGAAAACTCTGCACTCATTCTTATGCAACTCTAAATTTTCATTACCTTCATGTTATATTATACTCAGCTTTTAGCTAATGGGCTTCTCTGGTGGCTCAGCTGGTAAAAGAATCCGCCTGCAATGCGGGAGACCTGGGTTTGATCCCTGGGTTGGGAAGATTCCCCTGGAGAAGGGAAAGGCTTCCCACTCCAGTATTCTGGTCTGGAGAATTTCATAGGCTATATAGTCCATGGGGTCACAGAGTTGGACACAACTAAGCAACTTTCACTTTTAGGTAATAAAATTTCAGCTAGTATTTATCTGAAAAAATCTAAAAAATGATACAAATGCCTTATTTACAAAACAGAAGCAAACTCAATGACTTAGAAAACAAACCTATGGTCACTGAAAGGGAGCGGGATGGGGGGCAGGTCAATTAGGAGTTTGGGACTGAGGGCAGGGAAACCCACTCCAGTATCCCTGCCTAGAGAATCTCATGGACAGGTGAGCCTGGTGGGCACATGAGTGAGTCCATGAGGTCACAAAGAGCTAGACACGACTAAAGTGATAAGCATGCATGTACATACTCCAAAATAAAGTAAAACTTCAGAAAAAGATAAAGATTTAAAAAATAAAATAAAATTTAAGCTAGTATATATTTGAAAACATTGATTCCCTTCTGTACCCTCAATCCCACTGTGAAACTCCAATTCAGGATGAGCCTCAGAATCTAACAAGTCTACTCAAGGTAAATATTTGAGCTCTTCTTTGCATTAATATATTCAAACTCCTGTTATTAGTTAATCTACTATCTGTCACTGGGCTGTGTTTAAAGAGGAAATGGTACTGGATATGAAGAGCAGTTAACTCACATTTTAAGGTAGACATAATTTGTTGAAACAATGAGAAAAGAGGGTGCATCAGTGGATAAGACGGGGATCTACAGGATGGACAGTCAGGGACAAAATGTTTTCCAAGCTTCCATTTTTTAACTCATTTGTGAGTCTGCTATCAACAGTATCATCCTGATGACCAATGTAGCATTTCTTGCTACCACTCCACATAACACTAAGGAAGTCTAGGAGAATACACTTTTTTTTTCTTTCCTTTTTACACTTACTAAATGGTTGGCACTTCCCATAAAACAACAAAATGGATGTCTTTAGTTTTGTGTATTACATCCACAAGCTATTAGTCTAAGTAAATGTGACCAGTGTTATTCTTTTTTATTTTGAAGAAAAAAAAAAAGTGGAGAGCTTTATAAAATTTTCTCAGGGGCTTCCCTGGTGGCTCAGTGGTCAAGAATCTGCCTGCCAATGCAGGAGACACAAGTCTGATCTCTATATGGGAGGATCCCACATGCCACGGAGCAACTGGGCCTGTGCGCCACAACTATCGAGCGTGTGCTCTAGAGCCCAGGAACCACCGGGAACCACTGAGCCCCACGTGCAGCAACTACTGAAGCCCAGGCACCCTAGAGCCCCTGCTCCACAACCTAAGAAGCCACTGCAATGAGAAGCCCATGCACCGCAACTAGAGAGCAGCCCCTGCTCACTGCGAGAGAAAAGCCCATGCAACAATGAAGACCCAACACACTCAAAAATAAAGAAATACAATCATTTTTAAAAAAACTTCCTTAGCTACTCTCTCATGAAAAGCAGAAACCTAGCATCCAATAACCACACTGCAACAAAGGAAAAAAAATTTAAGCAATATCTCACTCACCTATGAGTGAGATATGAGCTTGCCAGGCTCCTCTGTCCGTGGGATTCTCCAGGCAAGAATACTGGAGTGAGTTGCCATTTTCCTTCTCCAAGATACACACAGAACCACATATAAAATACAAGGTATTGCGAGTTTGGGTTTTCTTGGGTATTTTTTGTCTTTTTGGATTTTTATCTTGCAGGAAGGGAATGGTTTCGGATATTCCTTGACTAGAAGTTAAGAAAGGAATACGGATTTAGAAAGCCACAGTCAGGCCACCAGCAGGTCTGGAGAACTGTTCCATTATGGCTCCTTCCCCTCCGCTGTCTGAGTAGCTCCAGCGGGTATGAATGCATAAGCGAAGATTCTCCCACCTCACTTAACAGATGTCCTATACCAGCATCATCAGATATTACCACCATTAAAAATTCAACTGAAAAAAAAAAAAAAGACAGGGTATGGCTGCTCCACCATAAAAGCTACACAAGTTTAGCCTCATAGTAACTCTCAAACTTAACACTTTCACTAACTGTCATATTCAGGTGTACCAACCAGGAATTGATCCTTATTTAAGAGTGTTTAAAATACTTTAAGACATACAGGGAGTGCCCTGAAGGTGCACGTTTCAATAGTATACAGGTACTGAGGAGGGGAAAAAAGTAAATCTTGAAAAACAACTTCCAAGATTGAGGCGAGAACCAGAGGGCCCCCAACAACATGCACTGATTTTTTTTGTCCTTTGCAAAGTACATGAGCCATGGCTCCCTATGTGGAGCAACCCTGCAGGCTGTTTGCTTCACCATTCAGCAGTTTTTGATGGTTCCAAAGAGCTACATTCTCAAAAGTAGTTTTTCAGTTGTGTTACTGATTTAAAAAAAAAAAAAAAAAAAAAGCTCGAGCTCTTCAAACAGTTAAAAATCAGAGATCTAAAAATCTTTCTTGGATTCCCACTTCTTAAAGAATGATTCTGGGAATGGTCAAATCAATGCTAATAGGAAAGTGTCCTAATGTACTTGAAAAACATTTTCAGAGATAATCATTTTCCACTTTCTCTTACTGAAATTCGAGGAAGGTCAGAAATAGCAAGCCACTTTGAAATCAGTGCTCCAATTACCCAGCGGGCATCTGAAAAGCAGCCCTCAGCTTTGCACAAAGGTTTGCAGAGGTGAGATGCTCAGATAACCTTGACCGCCCTTCACAGAATGCAGGACTCCAGAAGACCGGCTCCTTAGGCAATCTGCTATGACAAAGCAGCAGACAAAAAAACTCCAAACTCTGTTTCAGCATCTGGCTAAGAGGAAGGTTAAGTACAAAGTAACAAAACCAAAGCAACCTACCTAACATCAAATCACTTGTTTTATCTGAATTTAGGAGCTTAGCATATTACAGCACTTCAGCCTATAGAAAAGTCTCTTTCTATCAAATTAAACTGTTACTTTGTTCAATGACAATGTCCCTTAATAAGTGAATAAAGCGTTAAGAGAAATATCCACTAAACGTTGGGATAAGCCCAGGACAGAACTGGGTCTCTATCCAGCAGTAACCAAATGCAATCACTCTGAATCAATAGCAAATGTCAATCCAAAAGATCATCCAGCCATCTCTCAATCTTTCAGGAGCTTGGTGTTCTAAATTATACATTAATGCATCAGGATTAACACGATTCTTATTTAGAACACAGGTTAGGATTCAACCTCCCAACAAAATTTAAGAAACACAGATGTTCTGAAATGCTGGTGGAATGAAAATAGTCATGTAACAAAAATACTACTAAGTTGCCAGAAAGATAATTTACTCTATAATGACAAAAATGTTGAATTCAGAAATCAATGACTAAAAACTGCACAAGAGCCGCCTGTCTTCCCTGTTTCTGCCTCTCAGCTATTGAACAACAAAGGAGGAAATACCAGTGAGGAAAGATATAGAATCGACATTTACCAAATCAAAATTTTGCTGTACGTGGCAGGTTTTCTAACAATAAACACTGAGTTCAATGATCCTTTGTAACTAATCTACCAACTCACCTGATTCCACTTCAAAGTCATGGTAAATCTTCCTTCCAAGTCCAACTTGAGGTATTCTCACAAACCTAGAGTAAAATAATTATGAACTTTAGTGTGATCAGATTATTCTCAAATTTTGAAAATAGAAATAAAGGGGGAAGTCAGAGGTGCCAATCAAGTCATAACTGTGAAATCCTATACTGATCCTCTTTACTTTGTAATCTCTTATATGTAGTCAACAGACATCTAAATTTAAGCCAACCAATAGCCACTTCTATTTACACAACATTCTTTTTTCTTGAACTTTTTATATTGTATAATATAAAATTTACATTTATATACCACAAAATTGGGGTATAATCAATTAACAACGTGATAGTTTCAGGAGAACAGTGAAGGGACTCAGCCATACATACACATGTACCCATTCTCCCCTCCCGTCCACGCTGCCACATGAACACTGAGCAGAGTTCCATGTGCTATACAATAGGTCCTTGTTGGTTATCCATTTTAAATACAGCAGTTGGTACATGACCATCCCGAACTCCCTAACCATCCCATCCCATCCCCCAACCCCCAACCCAGCAACCATAAATTCATTTTCTGAGAGTCTCTGTTTTCTTTCTGTATTGTAAGTAAGTTCCTTTGTGTCATTTTACATTAACAAATTCTTAAACCTGACTGTTCAACCTCTACGTAGATCGCCAATCCAGGACCTCACCCCACACAATCTCATCAGGGAGTCTGGGGGAGAACCCCAGGAAACTATGAGTGAGAAGTGCCCCCCACAAGATGATTTTGATGTAGCTGGTGATAGACGTGCCTGTGGGAAGCACTGTTCCAAACCAGTGCTTCTCTGCAGGGGGCAGTTCCAAACCCGGAGGGATATCCTGCAATGTCTGAAGGTTTTTTTGGTTGTCACAGCAGAGGAAGGGGATACACATGATTGGATTTAATCGGCAGAAGCCAGGGATGCTGCTAAACAATCTACAAGGTTCAGGACAGTACACTTAAGCAGCCCAACAGTGATGAGATAGAGAAACCTGTTCCAAAGCAACCAAATACTCTGATGATTTAGAAATCCCACAATCCTCTCACTGGTCATTTCATGTAAGTTATATATAAACTCTACTAAAATCGTAAGACATTTCCAGGCATCAGACATACATTGCTGTTGCTCAGTCATGTCTGACTCTTTGCGGCCCCATGGACTCTAGCTCATGCCTGCATTCTTTCCCAGCATCACGATCTTTTCTGATGATTAAGCTCTTCCCATCAGGTGGCCAAAATACTGGCCTTTCAGTTTCATCATCAGTCCTTCTAATGAATATTCAGGGTTAATTTCCTTCAGGATCGACTGGTTGGATATCTTTGCAGCCCAAGAGATTCTCGACAGTCTTCTCCAACACCACAGTTCAAAAGCATCAAAACTTCAGTGCTTAGCCTTCTTTATGGTCCAACTCTCACATTTATACATGACTACTGGAAAAGCCATAGCTTTGACTAGATGAACCTTTGTTGGCAAAGTAATGTCTCTGCTTTTCAATCTGTTGTCTAGGTTAGTCATAACTTTTCTCCCAAGNTCCTGTGGCCACTGCTGAGTTTTCCAAATATGCTGGCACATTGAATGCAGCACTTTTAAGATGCCCAACATTAAAACCCACAGTGAAAAAAGCAAAAAGTGTTAATCACTCAGTTGTGTTTGACTCTTTGCAACTCCATGGATTGTAGCCCACAAGGCTCCTCTGTCCATGGGATTCTCCAGGCAGGAATACTAGGGTGGGTAGCCATTCCCTTCTCCAGGTGGTCTTCCCGACCCAAGAATCGAACCCACATCTCTTGCATTACAGGCAGATTCTTTACAGCCTGAGCCACCAGGGAAGCCCCAGTACATGTACCTATTTCTAAAATATTAAAATAAGTCAGACTATACATGTCCAAAAGAGCTTCTAAGAAATCCGTTTTTTAATGTTTGGGGACGTGAACACCATTTCAAATTGGGTTAATTTCCAAACTCTGTTCCTAAACATATAAAGTGGAAGACTAGAAGAGTAAGAAGAATCAAAACTTAATTTCACTCACAGATATTTCCAATCCCTGTTGAAGACAAGGTGGTAAGTTCCTCTTCCCAACCTGTCACCTTGGATTCCCATCACTCATTCAGCCAAATATAAAGGGACTTCAAGACTTACGTTAACTGCATTCAAAACAACAGTCGCTGAGTACCTACCATGTTCCGGCACTATGATCTTACATAACACAGCAGAACGGAGTTCCAGAAGACCCTGCAACCTGTCCTTCCTACCCTACCATAACCATTGGTATAAACACCAGACAAAGACTGTTGGAAAAAGAACCTATAAAGAATATTCTGAGCACCATACACCCCAGATAATAAAACTTGCACTTTTTATGTGCCTGCCCTACAAATTGTTACCTACAGAATGGGAAAGGAAGCCTGAAATAGTTGAAATATGTACTCTGTTTTTTTCATCTTAATAAGCTATAACCAGCTAATTACATAAACAAAACATACCTGACACTTATAACCTACTTAGCTACATGAACAAACATGCCAACTTCAAACTCAAGTGAAAGGATGTGATTTCCAAACACACTTAGGAAGATTTCACCAGAATTACTGCATTCCAACTGGACAACATTTCCATATATTCTAATTACAGTCTGATTTCTTCCCCTGAATCCCCAGTGTTATCAAGGAACTACTCAATCAAATTCACCCAAATCACCCCAGGCAACGAGCACCTGGATAGCTGGTGGGTGAACTGGTATTCCTATCTCAAAGCACCAGAAGGTTCAGGGGTCCAGGCAGAATGTGTGCCAGAGGCAGGGTTCCAATCTGGAGCTCCCCATCCAGCCCTAAGCATCTGAGAACAAGACAAATGATTAGGAAGCTTTGCTGGATGACATGCTTTCCCAAAGGTAGGGCTAAAACACAGTCTAGACTCAAGATGCCTGTTAACTCAATGTAGAGCCCATCACACCTCCACTACAAAAAGACCAGCAAGGAAGACAGCTTCAGACAAAAACAGAACAGCGGTGATAAACTTCTTAATATCCATCCATGGCTCCGGCTTTATGAAGCAAAGTAATTTTGGGGTATTCCTTTCTTTCTCCAGGAAAGGAAGAAAGGAAAATCCAAAACTGAATAGGAAGGTTCAGAAATATTAGTGCACAATCTGAAATTTAAGCCCTCCTTTCATTTTTCTAGATTTAAATCGGTCTTCAAACAAAAATTCATAATTAAATTTCAAAACATAAACATTTCCTTTTTTTCTCTCTCTTAGCAGTAAAACATATTCTGTTCCAAAAAAGAAAGGTTGCTCAATTTCCTGTCAAAAGCAATCCAGAGAAGGCCACCTACACTGTAAAAGCAGCAAGGGAAAAAAAAAATGCTGAAGAAAAGCCTGTATGTGTGGGAGTGTTCTAAGTGCAATGTAACTACCACTCTGGGTTTTAAAAGCTTTTTTCCTCGATCATTCTGAGAAATATGAAAATTAGTGTAACTGATGAAGAGAAGCTTGTCCTCCAACCTATCTAAGGAAAACAAGCCCTATGAAGGGTTTAGTTCCACCAAAGAAAGCAAGGGGTGGGGTGGGGGGGTGTGCACAATTCAAGGCCTTACACTGTGATTCTTCCTACTAAGCAGGAAGGGCAGATTCTATCAAATAGATAACCTACATGGAATGTTCTCCGAGCTAAAAGGCTGCTCTGACAATAAACCCTCTCCCCCACACCATCCTACTCCTATCTAGAACCACACAAATTTTCAGACTAGGGCCTTTATCCTAAACCTCTGGGGGCTAACCATTGACACACACAGTCATAACATGGCTAGACTGTGGATCAGTACAGCAATGAATTTGTCAGTTTCCCCTAAACCTGCTTATACTTTCTGAATACTTAAATTCTAAGACAGCAATCAACCAGCCCAATACATTTTACTAAAAGTCTGAACATGAACATGATCGGCACTAAGGCAGAGGCAGTATGGTTAAAAAAAAAAAAAAAGAAGAAGAAGCAAAAAGCTTAAACAGCTCACCAGAGAACTGAGGGGAAACGAACAGTACAGAAAATAAGTTGAAATTAAATACAGCATTATCACTGAATTGTAGCACAGTAAAGTGCAATGTTTCTGTAAATCACACTTTCCCTGGAAAGGAGTGTTTTGCTTTTTGTCACAAAAGCAAAACACAGGTGAAGGGAAGTAAAGAATGAACCGGGAAAAGAACATAGTAAGGAGATGATGGTGAATATTTTAAAACCGGAATACCAAAAGACAAAGCGAGATACGACAGGAAGCCACAGAGGAAGTGCAGTTGCCAGACAAGACACAGGAGAAAGGAAATCTCTTCAGCCTTACGTGTGACTGGCTTGATAAGCCAACAGTTTTGAAAACGCCAGCTCACAGGAGGGGTCTTCTTTGTTCTCTTTAATAACCTCAGGCTAACCTACCAGAAACATTTTTTAAAAGGCTGCACAACTAGAATAACTTAATTTCCCCAAACCATTTGAGAAAGTGAAGCCACTCAGTCATGTCCAACTCTTGGCGACCCCATGGACTGTAGCCCACCAGGCTTCTCCGTTCATGGGATCTTCCAGGCAAGAGTTATGGAGCTGGCTGCCATTTCCTTCTCCAGGGGATCTTCCTGACCCGGGGATTGAACCCGGGTCTCCTGCATTGCAGGCAGACGCTTTACCGTCTGAACCACCAGGGAAGCTCACTTGAGAGTTATCATGTTCTATCACCCCTACAGAGTTTGGTGAGTCACTTCTATAAACAAGGACATTCTCCTCCAAAACTGCAATAATTACGGCCATCAAGACCCAGAAATTAACAGTTACAGTCATCAAATCCACAGTACAGTCACCTAATCCACAGACCAGCCTTGACTTTCTCCAGTTACCCCATAGCATCCATTTTAGTAAAAGGATCCAATCCAGGATGTCTCACTGCACTGACTTTTCAAAGCTCGATACTCTATTTCAATCAAGAATTCCTCACACTATCCTTGATTTTCACGACCTCAACAATTTTGAGGATGTCAGGCCAGTTTTGTAGCAT